CACACACACACAGAGAGAGAGAGAGAGAGAGAGAGAGAGAGAGAGCGAGCGATCAGTGCCCCCCACAGCCCCCACGTGCCCCGCACGCGTGACCCACAGTCAGCGCCCGGAAGAACCAAAGCCCCTTCCTGTGTTGCCACTTCCGGCGCGCCCGGGCCCTTCGTCTCCCACTGCTTCCGGCCGGATTAGCCCCTTCCTGTCCCGCCTCTTCCGGTACTGCTGGGTCCTTCCTGTCCCGCCGTAGTTGCGCATGGCTTCCTCTCCAGCGGCAGCACAGGCACTAATCTGTGCGTTCCCTTCTCCGGCCTGAGCAGAGCGGCCTGCTCGCCTGGCCTTGGTTCCAGCCAGAAACCAGCTTCCTGCACGATGGAGAGAGGGAACAGCCAAGCACCAAAGGAGCCTGGTGTGCAGGGAAGGATTCAGGGGGCAGAGAGACGCGGGGAGCCACGAGAGCACCGCTGGCAGTGGGCAGGAGCTGTGTATACGTGGAGAGTATGGTGAAAGCTTTACGGGCCAAAAGGAGCTCGGTGCGCACGGGGAAGCACAGGAGGGAGATGGCCGCCCTCTGCCGTGAGTGCGGAAAGAGCGTCACCCGCCCGCGCTACCTGCGCGCCGCCGGCGTCTGTCTCCACACGGGAGGAGCTGCAGCGCTGCGCCGAACGCGGGAAGGGCTTTATTCGCCTGTCCCGCCTCCCAGCCCACCAACGCGTGCACGTGGGGGAGAAGCCATTTCACTGCGCCCAGTGTGGAGAGAAATTTAGACTACTGTGCCACTTCCGAGTCCACCAGCGCATCCACGCGGAGGAGAGGCCGTTTCTCTGCAATGAGTGGGAAAAGCTTTACTGCATCATCCAGCCTCCCAAAACAGTAGCGCATCCACGCTGGGGAGAGGCCATTTCTCTGCGATGAGTGTGGGAAGAGCTTTAGTAACTTATCCCACCTCTGAGTCCACCAGCGTGTGCACGTCGGTGAGAGGCCATATTGCATCTGTGCTGAGTGCAGGAGAAGTTTTAAACAACTGTCCCACATCCAAGTGCACCAGTGCATTCACACTCCCACGGCTCCCAGTGTGGGAAGAGCCTCGGACCTAGCTCTAAGCTCGCCAGGCACCAGGAAACTCTTAGACCAGACCCTCGCCGCTGACATGGGTTTCTGCCAGCGCTTCCCTTCCCCTCCATCTGTTCCATGAAGTGGAGTAAATGTAAGACACATGTAGCACCTGGTTTGATATGCTCTCCCCATTTCACAGTTGTCCGGCATTGGTTTCGCATGACAGTGGGGACGGGCATTTCTTTCCAGCAGTCTTCTAAACAGCCCGTGGCTGGGGTTGCAAGCTGCATCAGGGACATGGGGGACTAGTGTGCTTCGGGAGCTGTGGTTGTTGTGGGCATCGCCCAAGGTGAGGAGAGAAGAGGGTCCTTTTACTCTTTTGTTAGGGTTCCTTGAAATGACTGTTGTGGTTGCTGAGATGAGCAGGAGGAGAAAGGTGAGGTTTTGGGGGAGAGGGGTGAAAGTTGCAGCCCCTCTGCAGGAGAGGCGAGGTGAGGTGGTGGGAGCTGGGGGGCCCATGAAAGTAAGTGGGGCAGGGGTTGTAAAGGTTTCCAGTATTGCGATGGGGGTGGGTTAGTGGAAGGGTTTCCTTGCTGTTCTTGAGTGTTTGAGAAATCCTCTTGTTTGCTGCTTTGATGGTAGTTGCCACGAGCCCTCTGCGTGGGGCAGGATGTGAAGACATCCATAAATACATACGTGGGGGCACCCTGTCCTGGGCATGGGGTTGCTCTGAAAACAGCTTTCCCAGTTCTCCGGGTACAGAGACGATGGCAGTGTCTCCTGGTGCTGGCACGGCTCACCTGCAGCACCTCTTCAGTGACACGGGCTGAAGCAGACGGGCACCCTCCTGCTTTAGCAGAGCCGAGTCCACACCAGGCACTTTGCTGGACCAGCTGTTGGCTGCAGGGTGGGATGTTTCATTTTCCTATCGTCAAATCACGCTGGGAAATCCCAAATGTCTCCGGCACGTGCTCCACTCGGCTTTGCCTGTAATCCTCTGAGCATAACCTCCCGCTGTCCCAGCATCCCTGAGCCCCAAAAGCCTCATAATGTTTTGGGTGATTTAGGAGGTTTGTGCACGTATCACTTGGGGGTGGGGGGCATGGGCGTGGGTTCCCCTATAGAGAGCCAGGGGCTTGAAGGGTTACGTGTCTAAGGAGGCTCATGGGGAATGGCTGTGATATGGAAACCGGGGAAAGCTGTGCCTCCTTCACCACGTTTGGCATTTTTTCTTTTGGAGGCGTTTCCCAGGATGTGCTGCTAAGCCTTTCTGGAGCCTTTTTTTGCCCTCTACAGAATAACGTGCCTTTCCTTGGGGGCTTCCTGGGCACGCACTTCCTGTGAGCACAGCTTCGTTCTTTTTCTAGGCCTGGAAATTGTACCCTGCGAGAGAGATGGTGAACAGAGCCAGGGCAATTTTAAATCTCATTTCTCCCAGGTGGTTTCCTAGGCATTTACAATCTTTGGGGCAGAGATGTGAATTTTTCTGGAAAATTTTCCAATGCCCTAAATCAGATCACATTGTACTTAACACGGTTATTTGACTTTTCTGTTTAGTAAATGAAACAAAACAGTTTCCCCATGCTAATTTTATACCCGAATAGCCACAAGTATTTGAACTGAACTATTTGATTAGGGGGGTAACAATGAACTGCAGCACACTTCATGTGGTGTAAATGTTACTTTCAAACAAATTCAGAGCTTTATGTGGGCAGGAATTTATTTTTATTGGAATACTTGTAAAAATGTAGATGATACACAATAGCACGTACTTCCCTTCTATTGTTTGTTTAAATTTAAGAAAAAAAACCCAGAATATGCTCACGGAGCAAAGGAGGGAGGCTGGGCATGACAGGCCACATCTACATGTGTCTTGAACTGTGGAGCAGACTAATTAGGAGGCATCCTGCTTTTCCATTTCCTGCAGACAAATGCAAATTTTCCCCTTTAAAGGATGGAAAACATGGGTTTTCCCCTTTGAAGTAGGGAAACCACAGGGTTCAGGGGGTGCAGGTGACACTGCCAGGCCTGGGGGAGGTGGAGAAGGGCTGGCGGGGTGCAGTGTAGGGGTGTACGGGTGGGCAGCTTGGGCCACATGGGGTAAGGTGGGAAACTGCAGCCCTCCAGGATCCAAAAGCCCTGCTCAGGGCTCCTGAGCCAGGCAATCAGTAGGGACAGGCTCAATTTTCAGATCCCGGGCCTTAATTTTGCCAGCTCACTGCACCCTTGGGCTCCATTTTGCCCTTGCTGCACCCAGCCAAGCCAAGCCAATAGGAATGGTGTGCGAGCACTGCGTGGGCAAGGGTGGATTGGAGGAAGCAGGTCTGGGAGGCTGCTGGCTTTCATTCTTTCTCCCCAAAGGGGCTGGGGAGAAGTGCATGGTGGGAGACTGCTGCTGCTTTATTTTTTTTCTTGTTCTTCCCCCAGGGCCGAGGGAGAAAGCCAGGAGCACCTGAGCGGCTGCTGTTACCGACTCCCAGCTGGAGCAGAGAGCAGCGGGATGGACACCCAAGGAAGCTTTGAACTGTACTGCACTGGAGCGGTTCAACAAGAGGTTGGTTGGGGATGTGCCAATGCTCCTACTGAGACAGTCTGGGAGGGCCTGGCTGCAGGGTCTTGCCCCTCTGGCTCAGGGTCAGACCGATGCTGCATCGGGGTCAGGAATGAATTTGCCCCTGGTCAGATTGGTACAGGCTGGGGGAGTTTGTCTTTCTCTGCAGCGGTAGCATGGCTCTGCCTGGGAACTTGCAGCAGCTGCTGAGGGGCTGCACCGGGGCAAGCCTTGCAGGCAGTTCCAGTGGGCACCCGGCAGTCCTGTGTTGCCCCCACTCCCATGTTCCAAGGCTCTGGTAGGGCTTGCTGCAATTTGCTCTACAGTGAGAAGGTTTCTCACCTTTTCTGCTTGGAACTGGGACATCCTTTTCCCCTCTCCCCTAACCATACTGGAACTGGGAAGTCCTCCCCCTCCCCCCTAACCATATTGCAGTGCTTGCTTGCGTTATTTCATGGAAAGCACTTGACTCCATGCTTTCTATGGCGGGGGGTGGGGAAAAAAGTAAACAAGAATTCACTCTGTCCCTGCATACAGGGCCTCATGTCTTGAGGCATCTCCTGTTTTACTCCAGGCTCTGGACATCGCATCCTATTCTAGAAAAGATGCCAAAGAACGCAAGATTCACCCCTTCAGACTGTGTCGCTGCGTTTGGCAAGGATACATTTCACACCGACAGGACTGCTGTTCTGTACTGCGTGCAGCAGGGCTATGGATCACATTCGAAAGTAGGTGATGGTGGAGCACATTGGAAGTGCTAAGCACAAACAATGAGAAGGGACTAAGAGAAGATGCTGAAACAGCAGGGCCATCAACACCAGTAAAGAAACGGTGCACTGGGACTGCAGCATTTGAGTGCAGTACAGTTGCCAAAGTCCACTGTGACATCCTCATCGTGGATTTTGTTCGAATGCGTTTTAACACCGACTTGCCTCTGCATAAAATGGATTTACCTGTTTGTCAGGGATTTTTTAAGCAAGCACGTGAAGGGAGGTGGTGCCATTCCCAAATCAGACCAGTTGTGTTCCCACTTACCACCCTCCCCAAAAATAGGGCTGCCCACCCAAGACCCCATTCAGGCTCCTGGGAGATGCCCTGCACATGGAGGGGCAGCAGGGACCCCCACCTACCTCCAATCACCATACAGCCACTGCAGCCTCCCAAAAATGGGCATCCCCTCCCACAATGCAATGCACACCCCCAGCAGCAATCTCACCCAGATCCCCTGCATGCCAGGGGACAGCAGGGAATACTCCTGCTCCCTGACAGCTGCATAGCCACTGTGCCCCCTGAAATGGGGAGCCCCCTCAAGACCCCATGCAGCCCCCCAGATCCCTGGCAGGCTCCCCAATATCCCCTGCATGTGGGGGGGCAGTGGGGAATGCCCCACCAATCACTGTACTGCCACTGCACCTCCCCAAAATAGGCACCCACCCCCGCAAGACCCTGTGCAGCCCCTCAGACTCCCAGGATCCAGGGGGAATCCAGGAACCCCCATAGCTGTATGGATAGAGATGTTTCTGTGTGTGACATTCATTGTATGCCAGTGCCCTAATAGATTGACTTATTTGGCTCATTAATACCTAATTAAGGGTCTGATTGGAGTCTGAGTGGAGCAGTACTTGTGCTTTGATTGTATTTGCAGAAACTCCCTTTATGTTGTGACTTAACTTGCAAAGGTAATTTGTGGGGGGTTTTCCACTTAGAATCTCTATATTTTTAATATCATTTTTTATGTCCTGGTAATGTACTACTTTTAAATAATTTTTGGGTAGAGAACGAGGTACAGCTGGTGACGGGGAGGTGGGACACGCGTCCTGGCGGTGCATGGACCACTGTGCTCCAGGTAGGCAAGGGTGGGGGAGGTTTGTGGGTTGTCTACAAACTGTGGGTGTTCCCTCTCCCCTGCCAGTCAGCCGCCTGAAGGGTTCATCTGCTCTAGGAAGCTGGGGCAGGAGCTAGTGGCCACTTCCTGGCCGTGGCTTGGGGGTAGTGGGGAGGGGGCTGGGGCTGGTCCAGGCACTGCACACATGGTGGAGTGGGGAGGGTGGAGGTGTCTAAGTGCTCCATGGCTGGGAGCGCCCCAGGTACCCTCTGTACCGGGGGATAGGAAAACACGGGAGAGCCCCAGAACCCATATTTAGGGTTGTGACAACCATGAAAGGTGGCTGGTGGCTGGCGGCTGGCACGGGGCAGTCGTCCCAACTCCCCACAGATTCATAGATGTTAGGGTCGGAAGGGACCTCAATAGATCATCGAGTCCGACCCCCCGCATAAGCAGGAAAGAGGGCTGGGACTAGATGACCCCAGCTAGATACTCATCTAACCTCCTCTTGAAGACCCCCAGGGTAGGGGAGAGCACCACCTCCCTTGGGAGCCCGTTCCAGACCTTGGCCACTCGAACTGTGAAGAAGTTCTTCCTAATGTCCAGTCTAAATCTGCTCTCTGCGCCTCTCAACCTTCTTTTGCGGAGGCTGAAAAGGTCCAGGTTCTCTAGTCTCTCCTCGTAGGGCTTGGTCTGCAGGCCCTTAACCATACGAGTGGCCCTTCTCTGGACCCTCTCCAGGTTATCCACATCCCTCTTGAAGTGTGGCACCCAGAATTGCACGCAGTACTCCAACTGCGGTCTGACCAGTGCTCGATAGAGGGGAAGTATCACCTCCTTGGACCTATTCGTCATGCATCTGCTGATGCACGATAAAGTGCCATTGGCTTTTTTGATGGCTTCGTCACACTGCCGACTCATGTTCATCTTGGAGTCCACTAGGACTCCAAGATCCCTTTCCACTTCCGTGCCACCCAGCAGGTCATTCCCTAGGCTGTAGGTGTGCTGGACATTTCTCCTCCCTAGGTGCAGCACTTTGCATTTCTCCTTGTTGAACTGCATTCTGTTGTTTTCTGCCCACTTGTCCAACCTGTCCAGGTCTGCCTGTAGTTGTTCCCTGCCCTCCGGCGTGTCCACTTCTCCCCATAGCTTTGTGTCATCCGCAAACTTGGACAGAGTACACTTCACTCCCTCGTCCAAGTCACTGATGAAGACATTAAAGAGTATCGGTCCCAGGACTGAGCCCTGCGGGACCCCACTGCCCACACCCACACATCGGGTGCCTCTGCTTCTGGTCAGCACCATCCCGTGGGGGGGGGGGCAGCTAACCCCCAAGACCTCTTGTACAGTGGAGGGTGATCAATCCCAAAATGTGGCCCCCTGCATATATGTGCCTGGGCACTCCTTCCAAGCTAGGTAGACCATCTCGCCCATCTCCTCAGGATCGGACCCATTCTGCATTGCCAGGAAGCAATGCCCACCCCCCAATCAGGGTTTTTATGGAATAGGAGGGTTGTGGATTCCCCTGTAGCAGTTATAGGCAGCAGGGACCCAGTCTGTAATTACCAGATTGCTTTAACTAACTCTTGAGCTCCCCTGATGCGGGTCCTGCTTGGGTGAAGGGACTTGGCCCTGCAGACCAACTTTGGGGCTAGGTAGAGCATAAGAGGGGCTCCAGACATGGTGCAGAGGCAGGGACTCATGCTTCCCGAAGGGGGAGACTTGTTATAAGAGGGGTCTCTTCTAGAGTCTATTCCCCTGTCTCAAACTCTTCCCTGCGCGCACCTAGAGTTCTCTGGTTCGTGTTATTCAGCAGAAGGGGACATTTTCTGTACCAGCCAGCCAGAATAGATGGCTCTAACTTTATTAAAAAAATACGCTTTGACAACTTTACAAATTGACAAGTGACCTGTGTTGCATCACTTGCAAAAAAAAACAAACCCCGCCCTTGTCAGGCCACAGAGCAGCCGGGCCCACTGGCACACACCGCACCACGGCCCTACTCCCCCTCCTCGCTGTGCAAGGTAGCGAGGAGGTGGTCGGCCAGAGCATCACGAATGCGACTAGCATCTTCATCCTCAGGGCCTTCCTCGATGCAGGGGCTATCACACACTTCGCTCTCCTTTCCCTGCGCGACTTTGCGCTGAGGGTTTTTCTCGCTCCGCCGTACCTCCTCGGTCCAGGATTCACTAAATACTTCCCCCCTGCTCTCGCACATGTTGTGGAGCACACATGCCGCCACAATCACTCTTTTAATGTTCTCCTTGTCCATCTCTAGGGGCACGCTCAGAGCTTGCCAGCGCGCCCTGAGGCGCTCAAAGGCACCCTCTAGTGTTGCGCGGCACTTGTTGAGGCAGTCATTAAACTGCTCCTGACGATGGTCCAGTTCGCCCCCGTAGGGTTTCATCAGCCAGGGCAGAAGCGGGTAAGCTGGGTCGGCAATTAAGACGGGGGAGGTCACAATGCCGCGGATGTCCACTTCGGGTATCTCAGGAGCATACTTTCCGCTCTCCATCAAGTCAGGGAGGGGAGAGCTCTGAAGCACTTCGGCATCACGGACGCTCCCCTCCCACTCAGTGAAAATGTTCGTGAATCTGCCGCGATGGTCAACGACAGCCTGGAGGATGATGGAGGCAGGGCCCTTGCGGTTTACGTTTGTCTGACTGCCCTGGGCCCGCACAGGAATGTGGGTGCTGCCCAGTGCTCCCATGCAGTTGGGAAAGCCCATGCTGCAAAAGCCATCGATCACCTCCTGCGGGTTCTCCAGGCAGATGAAGCTGTTCGCCATTACGTTGTGAAGGAGCCGGCAGACTTCCCGGACGGCTACTCCGGCCGTAGCCATTCCCACGCCAAACTGGTTTGAGATTAAACGGAGGCTGGTTGGGGTGGCCAGCCTTAAGACCGCGATGGCCACCCTCTTCTCCGGACTGAGGGGCCGCCGCATGACCGTGTTCTGCCGCGTGATGTACGGGGACAGCTTGGTGACAATGTGCATGAACGTGGCTCGGCTCATGCGAAAGGTTTCCAGCCACTGTTTGTCTTCCCAGGTGGAAAGGACTATCCGCTCCCACCAGTCGGTGCTGCTGGTGTGTGCCCATAATTGTCGGTCGACGGTCTGAAGGTGATGCCAGAGCACCCCAGCTTCCGCGGCATCCAGGATGGCTTTTTCCTCATCGGCCACCTGGCCGCTGGATGCAGAGCCCAGGGAGAGTGTGGGGCACTGGGTGCGTTGCGTGGCTAGGTAAAGGATGCCCAGCTGCTGGATCATGTTACTGATGGACAGTGCAATGGCGGAGACTTGGTGCATCAGGTGCAGTTGGGCGCGAGCATAGATCCTCAGCCTTCGCTGATAATCAGGCCGGGCAAGTAGCCGGCTCCTCTGTGGCTCCTGCTTCTTCCTGCCGGTCATCGGTCTGCGCAAGGGCATGGTGCGCTTCCCGTGAGGTGCAAGGTACAAACAGGCCGAGGGAGATTCTGGCTGCTGGCTGTGGAGGGAGTTTCTGGTTATAAAGCAAGAATGAGAAGGGTACTTAGGCAACCATTCATGAGAAAGATCAAGCCAACAGCCACATTTTCTGAGAACAGCCCATAACAGGTGTGGAAATTCAATTGCCCCCTATTTGCACAAAACCAGAGGTGGCTAAGCACACCTCTCACACCTTTAGAAAGTGTCAGGCTGGGAGATTCCTCCCAGTCATGGCACCATTCCCTGAAAGCGGTCAGGTCAGTCTGAGGGGAGCCCTGCCCCTGTCCCCACCGCTTCTGCGGGGTAGAAGGGCAGCCAGACGGGGTGCCAGGCTGCAGCGAGTGGGTCACCACCATGCCAGAGATTGTGGTCTCCCTGCCCACCCCTCACTGCTGAGCCAGCTGTGAAACCGCCGTGATGAGACGGGAGAGGCATTCAATGAGAAGAGCGTGCTTTATTTGATAAGGATGCCCTCTGTGCTCGCTCTGCTATGCCCATCAGCATCTTTTTAAGGGGCCTTTCAGAAAATGTACCTACATCTGCCTATGTCCTTAGACCAGCGGTTACCAAACTCTGCCAGACTGCGCACTACCAATTTAAAACGGCACAGCCTTAAGTACTACCTGCAAATTTTTCATATACCTAGGTACCAGATTCTGTATTAAAATAACATCAAAACCTTTAGTAACCATAAACGTTGTTGTATCAGTTATGGTAGCCATATAAAACAGTTGGAAATTGGAAAAAGACAGGGGTAAATTTACCCGTCCGGAGATGGGGGTGTCTGTCTTTAGTGGGAGGCGTGAGCTTGCTTGGCAGAGCACGGTATTTGGATATCCGGTGCAATCTGGGTTAACGTCAGCCCGAGGTGCCTGGCCACGGACCCCTGCAGAGAGAGAAGGTTTTGGATTATCGCAGCAAGTCCATTGTCTATAGGTGAATCTCTCTCAAAATCTCGCTGTTTCTCTTTTACGCTCAGTTTCTCTATCTCTGTCATTCCCAGTTTCTCTCTTTCTTTCTTTCAATGTTGCCCCCCCGATGTCTAATTTCTACCCCAAACTTTCTCTCTCCAAATCTCTTCCAAAATCTCTCAACTTCTTGATCACTCTCCCTCAATCCCTCTGTCTCTCTCTCAAGCTGTGTGTGTGTGTGTGTGTATTTTATATAAAATCTCTCACTACCTCTCTCTCTCCCTCCATATCTCCTTTTCTCCCTCAATGTCCCGCTCTCTCCCCCCTGTCTCTCCATTTCTCTCTCACTCTCTCTCAGTCTCTCCCTCTCCATCTATAACTTGGGTCCTCCCTAAATGGCAGTGGACAGGTTACCTAAGCATTATGCCTCACCAAAACACCCCCGCCTACTTGAGTTACCCCCCCCCCCCCCCCAGGTAAACTTCTTACACACACACAAATTACCTAGGGGTAAATGCCCCCCCCCGACACACGTGCATCCAAGGTAAATTTCTTACACGCACTCCAAACACACACACCAACCAGACATGCAAACACACATGCATCTGAGGTCACTTTCTTACGCAAACACACAGTTACCTGGGGGTAATCGCTACCCCCCCTCCGCCCTGGTCCTCCAAGACACACACACGCACGCGTGCATCCGAGGTAAATCTCACCTCGCTCCAGGCACACCCCCCCGCCACAGACACTGGGCACACAGGCCCTTTGTTCTGCCTGCGCCCCCCGGGCCAGGCCTTCATCCCCCCCGCTCCCCCTGCCCGGCCCTGCTCTCACCTTCTCCCCACAAAGCTCGGAGCCACGTTGTGCGTGTGTGCGTGCATGTAAGTGTGTGTGCATGCGCACAGGGCACTGTGGGAGGGATGCGCTGCTGGGAGCAGGGGGTCCCAATGAGGCCGGCCCGAGGGGGAGGGGTGGGCTGTGGGGGAGGGCCTCCACCCCTTGCAGCAGCCCGGCCCCTGCTGCTGCGGACCAAGGGCTGGCGCGGCCTGGACACAAAGAAGCACTGTGTGTGGGGTGGGTGGGTGTCCCCGCTCACTCCCCGCCCCTGCGTACGTGCGTCTTGGGGGTGTGCCCACAGGGCAAGGGGATGCGTGTATCTGCGTGCCCGTGCGCGCACATGTGTGTGTGTGTGTATGCCCCCTGGGTGCAAGCCCATGCACATGTGTGCGTGTGTGTATGTACAGGCAGTCCTCAACTTACAATGTGGTGAGTTACGATGTTTTTCAGGTACATTTATAAATTGATGCCCTGCTTCAACTTTCTGACCTCAGTTTCGACTTTACAGCGCTTGATCTGATACAATGCCGTGCCAGCAAACAAGTTGGCTGCATCGCCCGTCTCCCTGGAGAGCGTCTGTCCAAACTTCCTTGGACACTTGCTTTAAGAAAGCAGACGAGACTCCAGAAAAACCTGCAGCCAGGACTGCTGAGAAGACTCCAGCCAAGAGCCCCTCAAAAAGTCCAACCAGGAGCCCTTCATAAAGGGCAAAGTCACCTCAGATAAGTCCTTCCAAATTAATATGATTGCTCTTTACAATATAAATACATTAATGTAGCTATGTTACTCATCTATAATTGATCGAGTACAAAGTTCTGGGGTATTTTTAGTGAAATGAGGGTGTCGCGCCTTGGTTCTGGAACCAATCCCCCATTTATAACATTGTTTCTTATGAGAAAATTGGTTCCAAGTTGAAACATTTTGACTTAAGACGTGGTTTTCAGGAACGAATTGTGTTGTAAGTCCGAGGACTGCCTGTATACCCCCGGGTGCATGTCCATACACGTGTGTGTGCACACCCCCTGGGTATGAGCCCATGCATGCATGTGCGTCTGTGCATGTATGTGCCCCCTGGCTACATGCCCATGCGTGTGTGTGCGCATGCACCTGCATGTGTCCACGAGCACATGTCCCTGTCTCCTCAGGTGCCCGTATGCCTCTGTTTCTGTGTGCACGCATGCATACACGTGTCAGTGTGCATATACTGTATAGGTGAATGTCTATCTCCTTCCAGCTTTTGTGGCTGAAGCTCATCTCTCACCTCCTGCAAAAGCATTCAGTGAAGTGCCTTAAGCCCACCAAAGCTTGTGCTGCTTGTGTGTGTGTGTGTGTGTGTGTGTATGCATGCATGCATGCGTCTACACACACACCTAAACCCACACACACACATGCACACACCCACACATACATACATACACATATACATATATGTAATGTATGTAGTGCTGTCTGTTGCTCTACGGGCTGAGGCCCATGCCCCCACTGTGTCAAACAGGCCTGTGTCCCGTGCGTGTGCGCTGGCTCCTTAGACTCGTGCAAGGGCAGGTAGCACCATCCCATGAGCTCTGCTCCGTGTCTCCCCTCAGTGCACTCATTTTCCACCTGTGATCTTCACTCCCATCCCTGCTGTTATTTTTGGTTGTGGCGAGTGATCAGTGCTGGGCCCTTAGTTGCCCCCATCGCCCAGGGGGTGTGTAGCTCTGCTTGCTGGGCTTGGCCCACATCACAGACCGGTACATTGAGGCCTGTGTCCCAGCAGCAGGGAGCGGAGGCTGGAAGGGAGGGTGACTGGGTCTGACCGGGGTTTTCTCGTGCTCCTCTCCCACTTGCAGCCTCCAGATATAGACCTAGACACCTATGTATCTCTAAGGTGCAAATCTGCCCTGCCCTTTACCTGATATTAGACTAGCACGGCTGCCTACATCTCTCTACTCATAGCCATAAATGCCAGGGAAGTGTTGGATGTGCTCTCAGGATGCTGTCAAAAGCTGGATTTTGTTTTATGAATCTGAATGAATAATATTCGAATGACTATGGGATGAATCAAACATCTTTGGATTATTTGTCTTTTTTTGTGTGTTTATTTTGTGTATGTTCATGTTTGCGTGCACGTGCATAGTTAATTTGCTATGCTTATATAGTGTGTGTATGTAGGCGTGCAATATATATAATTTGTTAGGTTATAAAGCCCCTGCCTCTTTATATATGTATACACACACACACACACACACACACACACACACACACACACAAATGCAATTTGCCATGTTATAAAGTGTGTGCACTTGTGTGCGTATGTATAATTTACTAGGTCATAAAGGTTATAAAGTGTGTGTATACACTTGTATATGTAGAATTAATTTGCTATATTAGAAACCGTGTGTTTGTATTAATAATAATAATAAATACTTCTGCTAGGACCAAACCCGGACGCTCTCAACAAGAGGATCTTGCGCCTCTGCTCAGGGTCAGAGAGGTGCCGTAGTGGGAGTTGGGAAGGACTCTCCCCACCCCCCTTCCCGCCCTGGGTCAGATTGGTACACATGGGGGGGGCATTGCTTTCCTCTGGAGTGGAGGAACAGCCTCTGCCTGGCATCTCTGGAGTGTGCATTAACAACCTTTCACAGCAGCAGGACGCTGGCTGCCGTGGTCCCCCTGCTTTCTCTGGGGCAGGGTCAAGTGCGATGTTTGTGCTGTGCCAGGGCTGACAGTATCTTCTGTAGAGTTCAGATGATGGGTTTTATCTGGGACGGTTTGGACAGGGCTGGTGCTGCCTCAGGCAGGGGCTGGACTAGACGGGACCTCCGCAGCTCCCTTGCAGCCCTGCTGCTCTGTGACTCCATGACTCTAGCGTCCCCATTCCCTGGGGCCCGCTCACCGCTGCAGGCTGGCAGAGGATGCTCCAGGCAGTAGCAGTGCCAGGCTTTGGACTTCCATCTTGCTCAGCTACTGAGATAAGAGGGTAGGATGTCTGTGTCTGCCCTGGGGCAGCTGCTCCCCACAGCCACCTTCCTGCTCGGGAGCTGCCCTGGTGCCAGCTAGGGTTACAGGGGGCCTGCCCCATTTGCCTGCTGATCCTTGCCAAGCCCAGGAGCTGCTTCCCTCACCACCCTCAATACTGCCTCTCCTCCAGCTCCTCACCCCCTGCAACCGCAGCCCCCATGGCCTCCACTGGACTCACTCTCTCTGTAGCGTCCACCCCACAATGCTAGGAGGCTGTGTCGTAGGTGGGTGGGTGGGCGCATGTGTACCGGGGTGGGGGCAGAAATCTCGGTGCATTGTAGGATAGAGACACGCTGGCTGGGAAGAGACTGGAGAGCAGGTGCAGATAAGAGGGAGGCTGATGGGGGACCCGAGGGAATGAAATCTCCCCCAAAGTGAGTGCCTGCCCCAAAGCAGGCAGGGAATGGCTTAATGTGTGGGGTGAGGGAAGGGGTTCAACCTTTGCAGCAGCCCCGGCCTCTGCAGAAGATACTTGCTGGCTGGGCTTTTCAGGTACAGGGACTAATACCAGGTATTCTCCCTCTTCAGCATACGGAAAGTCCTCAGGCTAGCCCAGGGCTCTAATCCAAAGGTCATCTAAAATGTTGGTTTTTTTCAAATGCACAGAAAATTTAATCATTTTCTAAGTTATTCCGGGCTGTTAAAGTAGAGCTGCAGCATCCCAGCCACATTTTCATCTTTCAGACGCTGGCGCTGAGCACTGAAAAGAACCCCGAGTTTGCTGAAACTTCTTTCCACGTCAGCTGAATTGACCGTCAGCTGGAGGAGAACCACCGCGTACTTCGCCAGGTTGGGAACGCGATCTTCAATCGCCATCCAGAACTGAATAGGATCCTCGATGTCTGCAAACCCGTCTTTGACGATCCCCAAATACACCGGCCACTCCACGTTGCATTCGTTGGACAGCTTTAATTCTGGTTTCACAGTTTCATAATCTGTATAAACAGCACCAATTTGTTTCGGATCTAGCGCACGGACAGCGCAGAGAAAATCAATTGCTGGCTGTTTACTTTTCACGTTGTACTGTCTCAGCTTATCAGCAGCGCTCTGAGCAGCCATGGACCCTTTTGCATTATCCGTTGATGATGCAAGATTCTCCAGCCGTGAAATTAAATCCAGGATAGTGTTGTATACTTTGTGTATTTGGCATTTTTGGGACTGTAAAATGTTGAGTGCTGTCACCAGGCATCCACAGCTCTCTGCAATGTACTTCAGGTCAGTGTGCAGGTCTTCTAATGCTAACAGGCTGGCCAGTTCCTGCAGAATAGATGTATCCCCTTGTTCCGTTCGTTCCTGCTCCACGAACCCACGGTTGAGCTGGTAGTACTGTGCGTGGTACTCCACACAGCTGAACCATGTTTTCCACCTGGTCACAACTGGTTCAGGTGGAAGTGTTGGTGAACCAACGCTCTGTTCCTTCAGGTATCTCAAGAACTGTGCACGAGCTGGAGCTTTCGCTAGAAGTGACTTCATCAAAGCAACAAAGCGATCCACTTGCTTGAAGGCATCTCGCCAGGTATCTCCCGCCAGAGCAACTATATGGGCGTAGCAACATATGTGTACACAGTTGGACCACAGAGTGCAAAGCACGTCGTTCCAAGCCTTCGCCATGTAGCTCCCACTGTCGGTCACAAATGCCAATATTCGCTCAAGTGGGATGCTGAATTCCACCATGCAAGAAATCAAGGCTTGGGAAATGGTGGCATGATTCACTTTCCCCAGGCACACGGTCTTTACCAGCTGCGGCGCGGGAATGTCGGCATGCCTCGGAGGATGTACCCTGAGCACTTGAAATAAAATGTTGAAAATGGATCTATTTTGGAAGTCGGTTGGCTCGTTGGCGATCACGGCAATGAAGTTTCCCTCGAAGTCACGAAGAAGGCGCTGTTTTTCCTCTTCAAAAAGAGTTGGGAGGTGGGAATACAACTGGTCTGACTTGGGAATGGCACCGCCTCCCTTCACGTGCTTGCTCAAAAAATCCCTGA